ATTCGCGATCATAATGGGCGTTGGTTTCATGGGTTTGCTGTCAATGTTGGTATCACAACAAGTTTCTTGGCTGAGTTATGGGGCTGTAGAGAAGGTCTTAAGCTTGCTATATCTCTGGGGATACATCAGCTAGTCTTAGAAATGGACTCTCTACTGGCAATTCAACTCATTCAAAATCGGCAAATTTCAGCCGGCCCAGCCTCCGTGCTTCTCACTGACATCTTCTTGTTGATGGATTCCTTTAGCAACTGCCTAGTGAGACATACTCTTAGAGAAGGGAATTCAGCAGCAGATTTTCTGGTATCCATGGGTCATGATTTAGCTTTGGGCACTACATTTTTTCCCACACCTCCTACGGGTATTCATATGATCTTGCAAAGTGATTACATAGGGACCAGGTTCCTTAGGACGTGAGCTGAAGTTATAGCTTCTGATGTACCAAAAAAAAAAAATACTTGCAATGTAATTAATTAAGTGCTAATTAAACTTCAACTCTTTGCCCGAACACTATCTACTTCCATTACATGCTTCTCTATTTTATATTGGTGACTAATCCTCACACTTGGTGTTGGAATATTATAAACTCTATGAACTCGTTAAGCCTTTCAACTTAACAGTCATGCCCTGCAATTGAGTTGTCCTGCTTTTTTAAATCTACGATCAATCAGAAACAATGCTCTTCAATTCTGTCCCTTTCGGCTTGTTTGATTGGAATTCTCATTATCATAACTTAGTTATTCCTATCTTATTAAAATAAGTTTTTAATTAAAAAATGATTAATATATCTTTGGGTTAAATATACATTTTAATACTCATTTAATTTAATTATTAAAATATAATATAAGTACAATTAATTCAATTAGTTCTTAATTACTGTATATATCATTACATTTTTTAAGTTGCTTTATTTTTAATTTTAGATTAAAAAATAATAATTTTTTAATAAATATATTATGCAATATATTAAACAATTAGATTTATATAATCATTGGCCTTTTTAATTTTAGTTTATATTGATGAAAAAATAATTATCAACATTTATTATGGGTTTTTTTAACTTGTGCTTTAAAGGGTGTAATTTATGTACTTTTTTATAATTAATTTGGATGAAAATCATAAGTGTTAACTTTAAATTAATTGACTAACTAATTAAAATCATTTATATATGTCAATGGTGTTAAAATAAATGTCAATTTTTACAATTTTTTATATAAAATAATTATAAAAATATGTATTTATTACACTTTTAAATTACAAAGGTTAAACAAGCCTTTTTTTATTCTTTACTTAGCGAAAGAAAATGGTGACACCCTTTATTTATTCCTTCTATTAATTACGTAGTTAATATATAAGTCAGGATTTAATACTGCACTTAACACCTCGTCGGCATTTTTTTTTTCACCATTTTTGAAATTCTTCCTTTGAACATCATATATGGCTTTACACTTC